GCTAAAGGAACTGCCTACTGCGCCCTTGTGGAGTTGATTTTTTAGTGTCCCCCAGGCTGTCCACAGTCCTCCAGGAGGCCTCAGGCAGAACGCAGGTTGGCATGTGCAAGGTGATGGCACTCGCTGCCTGTCCCAAACCAGCTCCTTCACAGTGGGTGTTGTGAGGTGGAGATGAAGCTGATTGATAAACAAATGCCCACAGGCTTCTTATTCTCAGACACAGATGAACAGGGCTAAAGATATTAACCTGGCCAGACCCATTGTGGCCTCCAATGCAATGTACATTTCAAAGAGGATCAGTTGGGACAGTAATTACAATGATATGCAACTTATGTGATAATGTTTTTACTCACAGGGAGCGGCCTGTGGGATGCATAGCATTTTACTCCACATATTACTAACATACCACACAAAAATTACTGGGCAGCAATCTCTGACTAATGTAATGACGGCTTTGGAACCCTAGTGATTGAAGAGCAACAATCAGATTGACTGATATTTTCATATTAGAGTCAGTGGCGGAACAACTGTACATTGGGCCCTGGGGTAAAAATGGAGCCTGCCCCCCCCCTTCCAAATTCACACCTGCCTACGCCAGTTGCAGCAGTTACAGGTGATGAAATGTATGCAGCCTCCAAATATCATACCCATCATGCACTGCAGTAGTTAGAAAGTAGTTAGTAGTTTTTTTTGTTAAATACACGCTTGACAGTTCGACTACAAAACATTACAAACTATTACATTTCAAAATTGTTTTAAGTATTGTACCTAATATTTTTTTGTGTTATGACTCCCACCATAATGAGACTGTATAAATAAAAATGTGAGATATAAAGGTAGTGTGTTACAGGTTTATGCATGATATGGGTACCTTAATCCTCAGAAATGTACATATTTCAGATTTATAGGGGGTGCTGGAGTATCTGTTCACCTTTCATGAGGGTGTATATATATTGAAATATGCTGCCCTTATATACTGTGCTTTCAGCAACAAAAAAATACATCTGAAAATAGACACAAATCCTTATCCAAGCATAAGTGATGGTAATAACCACGAACTGCAAAGATAAAATTTAAAATGATTTTAATAATAATGATATGTAAGATAAGTGGGATGTGAAGTTTGAGGGTTTTTTTTTATTTGTTACAGGTTGGGGAGGCTTAGATGTGTTCTAAGGACATATGGGGTGTGCTTAAGAGGCGTCGGAGTGCAATAAAATATACCCAAACAACAGCTGGTCCTGAGTTTGTCCCAGTGAAAATGACAAGTGGGACACCCCTGTTGTGAAGGACTACACCAGATGATGACTCGAATTATCACAAGAAGAATGAAATGACAAGCACACCTTGGATTATGAGTACTGTACTTTTAAGAACAAAACTATCTTTATCCTGACAAAGCAATTAGTAAGTTCATGCCCATAATGTTTTCGAGTGATTCTCCAGGAAAGGCTGTCGTGTTTTTTTTCCCCTGCAGAGCTGGTCTCTCCACTGTGAAAGGTAATTATTAAGAATAAACAAAGCATAAACCTTAATGGTGAAACTATGTATTGTAATGCTTTGTCATAAATAACTCTCCTGTATGCTAATTTTGTAAAAATGCTAAAATTTCAAAATGGATTGGATGCTTTTTGACTTAATTTGCTTCCCCGTTGAGTATGACATTATTCTTAATATAACTATGATGATCTTAATTGTTTTTAGTTGTTTCCTATTACAATCCTGGCAAATCACTTTACTGTATTTTATTTCTTTTTAGACCCTAAATAATTAGCTTTGATTGAACTGGTTAAGTGATTAAATAAATAGCATGATTAAAGTTTCATAATTCTGACCATTAGCAAAGGTGTAACTGTGTCTTGATGAAAACTATTACCCTGTTGAGGGCATGATGACTCAGTATATAGCACTATTGCTCACAGGGTTGTGGGTTCGAATCACAATTCTTTCTGTGTATGGAGTTTGCGTGTCCTCTCTGTCACACAGGCATCCTTGCATGATTAGGCTAACTGGTATCTTTCATCTGTGATGTACTGAAGGGATGTTCGGGCTGCACCCCAGTCTCCTACTACATGCTGCCTGGGGAGATCCTGTCCTGTCCTGTATTGAAGTGCTTATGAATAAATGAATTTTCATAAATATTGAACAACAAAACTGATTGATCAGGTGCTTAATTACATAAAATTAAGATCTATACTTATTTAGTCTTTCATTTGACCTTTAATTAAATAAAACTACTACTGTTTTACTACTATTATTTTAATCCATCTGCTGACCATTTAACCCAGTCACAGGGGGTGAGTTTTACATAATTATTGATTAAAGTTATTAATTGCTTCATTTTAGAAGAAAATTTAAAGGCATTTTCCTAAGCTTTAATTATTCTATCACGTGAAGTTTGCAGCCATGTGCAGTTGGGAAATGTTGTCTTTTCTACCTTGTAGTTCTTCAGCTACAGATTGGCTTAAAAAGCCTTGATCAATCAAACAAAATGTTGTCTTCACTTGTATATTGCTCCTGTCATTTCTAAGAGTATATATGCATTCATACTATCTCTATATTATAGAGCTTTGAAAAGTTGAACAAATAAGCGTCAGACAATTAAAAAAAAAAAAAAAAGTGTAACAGATATGCAAAATGTCAAGAAAGCAGTTGTAGTACAGTACAAGTGAGCGCAATAAGAAAATGATCCACTAGAGGGAGCGTTCAGCATGTTTTGGAAGTACAGGCATCATTGGATTTGGTGCCTCTGGGTCAAATGATGGTTAAAACAATACCGCAAGGTCCCATTTAAACATGAGCATTCAAGAAATGTTGACTGTAATAATGATCTTTTTTGGTGCTCTTTTGCTCACTAAAAGACAATTTCCATGAACCCTTGTTGTTATTATTATTATTATTATTATTATTATTATTATTATTATTATCCTGTAATGGGTTGGTGCCCCATCCTGAGTTGAATCCTCCAGGATAGGCTCCAGACCCCCTGCAACCCTGAACAGGACAAGCAGTTTCACATAATATTACTATGTTACAATGATAATCAACCAATTAAATATTTTTTGTGGCTATGTTTTATTGGTGCATTCAGAATCTCAATTACATGAAGAACATAATTAAAAGAATCAATGACTGCAATATTACGCAAATCTGTCAAATACTAATTGTTGTGAAACATTACCCTCGTTCAGGATGGATTACCCCCCCCACCCACCCCAAATGAAATAAAAAAGAACATTTAAATAAACCAACTGAAGAGACCTCAGTTCTACGTCTCTTTGCATGCCCAATTTACCATTGACACTGACACTAAGAGTGAATGTAGAAAATATTACAAGAAGACACTAATGTTAGCTTGGCTCTGGAGAGGCGTGCCTGGGCCTACAGTGTAAACTGAGGCTGCTTGGATTACATTATATTGACAATAACATTTTCTGAAGACAAATCGCCAGCAGTCTGATCCTGGGTTGATCCCTGCCATGTGCTTGCAGCCTCACAGTTTGTTTCTTGACCCCCTGCGACCCTGAATCTGACAAGCAGGTACAGAAGATGGATGGATGGATGAAAATTCCCAGCAATCATTTAGCATATAATGTGCTTAAATTTTGAGTTTGATTCATGTGTAATGTTAATGTTAAATTATTTAAATGCCTGATTTAACACACCCCTGTAAAGCGCCTTGGGGGTGACTCTGTTGTGTAAGGTGCTACATAGAAATAAATTGAACTGAATTTAAGACATCGGAAAAGCCACTTCCTTAACTAAACATTCACTAAGGTCCACATAATTTGGTTGAGATGTCTATAAAATAGTGAATCCTTATATTTTAATTGTATTATCTCCCATATAATAAGGGTTGTGTCGTAATTCATTAATTTTCGGTTACACATATCTACCATGTGGATTTTTATCTGTTCCTATCAGCAGCTAATTTGTGTAGATGCTTCAAATTATGTCAAATATATACAGTAAATCCCGGGTAAGAGCGGAACAGACATATTCAAGAAAAATGTTTAACAATGGCACAATACATTTGCAGTCTTTTTTATTCAATTAGTGCTGACAATGGAAACCAAATTCAATTAGCCCATCCTTAGACTTTCTCATTGAGCACTTTTTTCATTGGCAGCTATGTCAAACCAAAAGAACAGCAGTCACAGACTTTGTTCCCACTGTTACATAAAAGTCACGGGAGATACTCTGTGCATTGTCCCGTCTGTTATCTATGATGGCAGCTCGCCATTAGAGTCTAATGCATTATATAACCCGACTGTGGCTCCAGCCTCCCTCAAACATTTGGGAAAAACTGACCTACAAATTAAGTGGTGTGTGTTTTAGGAACACAGACCCAAGGACTTTACATACAATGCCATTTAATTCTGTTAACTGCACTAAAAATAACACAAGAGATTAATCCACGGATGGAAAAATAACTACTAAAACACATCGAAGAGGGACTTCAGGTAAAACACAGCAAAAGTCAAAAGCAAGGCAGTAAAACAAAATAGTGAAGTTAGCATCTAAAAATAAAGATTATGAAAACAAAGGTAAATGCATTGGGGCCACATACAGCAATCCAGTTATCCCTGCAACCATCTTCCAAGTGCTCAGCCAGTACAAAAGCAGAGAGTTTGGAGCCTATCCCAGGCAGGATGCAGCACACGACACACGACAGGGCAGGGAGACACCCAGGGTGGAATGGCTGTCCAGTGCTGGACAAACACAAACACACACACACACACACACACACACACACACACACACACATTTATATTCATATCTTTGTAGGGACTCTCCATTCAATTCTATGGGAAAAACCCTAATCCCAACATGACGACCTTAACCCCTACCCATCCATAACCTTAACCACAGGTAACCAAACAAAACGCTTTTGGCATTTTTAGTTTTTTTTTTTATTTTGATTGCAGTCACAGAATTTTTACAAAAATGTCCCCACAAGGTTAAAAATGCACCCCCCCCCCCACCCCCGTACACACATCATCATCATCATCATCATCATCATCATCATCATCATCACACACTTTGGGCAATTTTGTGTTTTCAGCACAGGGGTACAGTGAGCCAGTGATCCTGATGCAGACATCCAGCATGATGTGGTATTATAAGGGACCACATATCACCTAGGACAAAAAAACAAAAAAAAAAACATTTCTTCTCTTTTCCAAGGGTTTTTAATCATTTGATTTGGCACCTGCAATGATGTAACAGTCGTTCTCACTTAATATTGCTGGCTTGATCCCACTAAATGTGAGTTGCGAAGATGATTCAACGTACTGCGTCTTTCACGGGGCAGGGAAACAAGAGGTTAATTTTTTTAACTTTGTCGGAAGTGCACAGGACAGTTACCTGCCAATATAGAGGGTCTGATCCATCCGCCTTTCATCCATGACTGCTTGGTTAGCCTGGAGCATATCCTGGAAAGCACAGGGCACGCCGCTTGCGAACTCTCACTCAAAAACCCAAGCGGACAAAACAAAGTACTTGCATTGAATGTTTTCCGGTGTAACATAAAATATAGCTGGCTAAAAGCTTCTATATGTGTATTTTACATATTATGAGATGTATGGAAAGCGGGCCTGCTGAAAAGCGCCGCATTCAGTGCTACTGTTACAATGGATCTAATCAAGCGAGAGGGGCTGATATTAGAGCTGGCCATGTAACCCGATCCTCCATTGACTCGGGAGCAGTGAAGACGCTCCTCTGGCCACAGGCCGCTCTCCCCGAGCCGTACTGCAGGGAAAAGAGACAGAGCGGCTGTCGTGGACCGAGGTCATGTTGAACTTTTTGTTTTGGGTACAGCTGGGGACGATCGCTACGGTATTAATTTGTCTTAAACCAGATAGGCATAGCAGAGCGGATGCGTCGCCTCCAGCTATATCCGTCGCTGAACAGCCCCCCAGATTAAGTCCGTAGGGTTTTCTCAGGTTGTCGAGTTCAGCGATTCAGTTTAAGCATGACTTTAAACGAGCCACTTACATCTGATCCCCTCAATTTAGACGTTCTTATAAATAAATGCAATACGTGCTTTGTTTCTATTAAGTTATATCCCATTGGCTCTTACTAAGCGTTAAATGTACAGCATGTATAATTACATTCTCAGGAAATGATGCTTCTCTTCAAAGCACTTTAGTATTAAAAATAAATTATGCCGAAAACACGCCAGATTCTTTCGCCGCACGTAGACATTTGGCCTGGAATTTGTTAAAACAGCAAATATATACAGTATTTAACAACTGTAACAACTTAAGAAGTCCCCTGTCTTCCGTCTAATAAACCGTGTAACACGGGAACTATGAAGAGATGTATTTGAATCCATTTCATTAAACGGACCAATATTCTTTTTCTGGGTTAATGCGTATGAAGTTGTAATAAAGATAATAATGTATGAGTTTCTAATGACTATCCCAAACGCTTTTTTTCTACGGCAAGGGTGGAAACAAAAGAATTGAATTATTAATAATTATGCAAGCTAATTTAATTTTTAGCAATGGTCTGGCAATATTTACATAAACTGCTGTTGTGCTGATTATTTAAAGTCTATTCTCGTTGCACGGTTCATGTTTTAGCTGAAGTCCAGCGACTTAATTAGACCATTTGTCTTTTTACACGATTATAGTCTACACACCTCAGGCAAGATTTAAATTCCCTTCTTCGTTTTTATACCAGGCTATATTAAGGTCCGCAGGTGGTGTAGTGGTTAAGGTACAGATTAACGGTGCCTCTCCAAAGGGATGCCGTGATTATTTTACGCTCGGGAAAAGGCCCCATATCACTGAAGGCGGAACGACACTGATCGCGCCATTGAAACCCCAGCTCAATAAATACGTTAATTATAAAGTCGTGCTGTATATGGTAAACTGGACGAAAACACAAGGTAATGGACTAAATATCACATAAATTAACTGGTCACAATGTTTTATGCTAGTGAACAGCAGGGAAGACAATAATACAGCGGCCCTTATATTTAAAACACACGGACATTTAACCACGGTGCTGAAAGCTGTAACCGTGTGGGTCGCACGCATGATAGCATTAAACCCGTTAATCATGGTCAGTTGTTTATGATCATCCAGCAGAGAATTTATAGATAGTACATTAATGTGTTGCCACTATTAAGTAAAGTAAGCCAAAGGCTATTAGGATTTGAACAGTAAAAAAGCCCTAATATCTGAACATGTGCGGCTAAGAAAGTTTTTCAAACCCTACTTGGGGTTTAATTGCAGTACACTCATCAGGCTATAATCTTAATACTGATAAAACAGATGTTCGTGAGGTTCAATGTAACCTGGGAGAATTACAAATATGTTATTGGAAAATACAATGACGCCCTGTTTGCAAGTAAAGACTGTTCAAATTAACACAACATAATTAGCTGATGTTTTCCTGGCGCTGTAAGATGCGTGCAATGATGCAACATGGAAAATACAACTTTAGCAATAAAACATGTTCTAAGCTGTGTTTTGAAATACTATCCGGCTGAAGGTACGATATTTTCAAGGGCATTTAATCAGCATATGCAACACATCCAACGGAGTAAAAGCTACCGGATTGTTAGATGCTGTTCAGATTCTTTTTTCCTTGATCACAACGTGTTCATCTAGGTGCATTACGATCGCACGACAAGAAGACTAATGTAATGTCAATTATTTGTCATAAAATGTAAGATACAATGAAATGCGCTCCACCGATTTAGAGGCTCGTAAACTATAGCGTCCCTGTCCCTTTAAAGACTCAGACAAAACGCCCATATGATCCCAGAGCTCCAATCACCAGTTTCTTCTGCAAAGGCAGTCTCTGCATTTTTGTCTTTTTCTAAACGCTAACATGGCGAAAAAAGGACTGATGTGAAGAATAAAAGAGACGTAAGAAATGTGAAAATACAGCATTAAGCATTTTAATGGAGAGGAGAAGTCCGATACAGAAGAAGGGGAATAGGGACTCCTTCGCAAGAGAAAACCTTGGATCAAAATGGTAGAGCGCTGCATTTTTTTGCCTGTTTATTTTCTTTTACCTTTTGATCTTTGCAAATTTGGGCTAGTTAGGCCTTTGAAACTTACCTGAAATGATCTTCGGGATGTTATTGCATGCATCAGCGTTGCGTGACATCGGACGTTTCAGTTTTCGCGATGCATTTGCGGTTAAACCATGAAGTTCACAACTTGCATTGAGCGAAGACGTAGATACTAACGTGTGATTGATGACTAGGATGTGAGATCAGGTCTGTCGGCGTTGTTGCAAAGAGTTAAATTCCTTCATGATGGGATGCTCAAGCTAAGGTCGTGACCTGTGCATTTTTTATGCGGATCGGTCAAACTTAGCTAATGTTTTTTTTTCCCTCGATCTTTGCCGTTATATTTTTGTCTACGTTGTGTTCTTTCTTAATACTTTAAATTATTACAAAGAATTAAAACTTGAGCAGATTTTTTCCTTCACCGTGACTTGTTGAAAGACACTTGGGCGCAGAGATGCACATATACGTGTATATACGTTTGTGAAATGTAACTTAGAGGAGGTCATTGTTAAATATACACCTGGTACTACTGCTGCCTGTCATCGGAGTTCATTTAAAGGGCCACGGTGACGCGGCGGCTCCTGGCATTTGCTGCGTCTGAGCGGCGCTCCATCGCAACAATGTGTCAGATTACGGAGCTCCGCCGGCTGGAGCAGGGCGGGCACGTCTCCGCGCTCCCGTGCGCCAATTTAAAGGTGTCACCGCTGCCTTCTTTATATCAATTCCCTAAATATTAAAACAACGTACTTGACGCGCGTGGCTTTCGTCCTTTAATGCAATAAATAAGTATTTTTTTCCCACGCTTTACTGAAAATTAATCTATATTGTGTAAAGCCACACTAATATCAGAAGTCTGAATGGCTAAATTAATTGTTGAAAGTACTTATTCTAGTGGATTTTTAATCTGTCTCACGTTCATTTTTACCCCTACATCCAGCAGTTGGGCTTCTTACTTTATAGTGGAAAATATAGTCTGTTAGTTTTGGAGTTTTGGCATGATCGTTAATCGTTATGAACCTTTCCTGCCTTTAAATGTCAATTCAGTTTCAGTCTAACACAATTGCATTGTATTTGTCTGAATTATCCCCTGTGACTTATCTGTGGTTGGATTTATTGTCTGGAACTATAGCTGCTTGTGAGCTGCCATTTACAGTCGTAGGCCGGCTTTGGTGGTGCCGAAGGGCCGCTTTCTGCGTGCACTGCAGCATAGTGGCTAACCGCATACTGGCCGGCAGCTTTTTCGCCGCTTAGGCTGCGCTTGCAGTAGCTGAGGTGTGAAAATGTGCTATTATGTTGGTGTAGCAGTTTGCATTGGCTTCGCTGTAGATAAAGTATGAGTCAGATTTCATGTCTAAGTTAACAGCTGTTTCTCTGATAACGCACAAAATCGTTATATTTAGCCGTTCAAGATTAATCTCGTATTGACCTTTTGGCACGAACCGTGATGTGACTGATAACCACGGGAAAACCCAAAACAAGTATGTAAATAGTTTAAGGAGCTAACACACCTGGATTACCTGTTTAAGCACGGGACTTGGATCAGACTTAAGTCCACCACTTAATGGCAACTGTTTAATGTTATGCTGTGTGTCAGTGAGCCATTTAATCCTTCTGTTTTTGTAGACTTGCTGAACGGTAAATAGTTACGGTGCCTTGCCAGCTATATAAAAGCTAAATCTTCTTGTCAGACTCGTCTTTCGGTCGGTAAGGTTTGATTTCAAGTTCTTTTACTTTTTGTGTGTGTTAGGCTTCAGGATAAGGTTAAAGAGTTGGGACCCTATTAATGTATACTAGTTTCACCTGATCTCTGGGATTTGGAAGGGGTTTGCTTCATAGACGTGATGCTTGTAGAATAGAGTTATGGTTTCCCATTTGCTACAACAGTAGCCCTAAGCAAAGTGATTCAATCGTCCCCATTTGGAATGCTAATCAGGTGACACTGTTTGCCAAAACCAATTTATAGCATGAGAATGGCAGGGCACATCAAAGAGAGCACTGTTCTGTGTGCGCGCGCCTCGAGAAATGACAGAGAATCAGGTTGCTCTTTTATCTTTCATTATTGATCCTTTCATAATAGAGCTGGGAATCCTTGTTGAGGTAGATGTGCCCATTCAGAAATGGGATAATTTAGTAATATGTTTTAACGAGGTTAATTTTTAAATCCCGCTGCCTCGCAGAGAAGGAAGCTGGACAAGTGAGGTCATCCCGGGACGACTCAACGTGAAGAATTTTGCAGCTGGGTGGCGTAACAGAATAATCCGGAATCCCATTCACATCTGGAGCCTCAAGTTAATATGTGGGTCATCTGTGAGCTAGAGAAAGCTCGGCAATCTGCATTATTTTTTAGGAGCTGATCCGTGCGGATATTGTGCCTCCTAACACTGTAGACCAGAAAGGGTCCTTTTCATTTTTAAATAACCAATCAGCTGTTCCACAGCTTACATAGTCCTCTATGCAGTCAGTTAAGGTGAACACTGTATTGGTCTGTTTCAGTCTAATGCAACTGCAAGTGTGTTTGCAATGAATTTTAAGCATCTGTTGAGAAAATCGTAGTATTTCCTCTCATGTGATAAACAGTGTTGAATACTGTGGTTTCTCTTTTATGAAAACAGATGTTTTTCTTTCGATCTGAATGCAGTCTCTCTCTCTTTTTTTTTTTTTTTTTTTTGGTGTTTTGAAATGATCTTAAGGAACTGGTTTGAGACTCTTACTGTAAATTTGATCCTGAAAGGAGCCCCTTACTTGTGGCAAAAGGCAATGAAAATGTGTTCCAGTTTATGAGATTTCTTCCTATCTAGCCACCAGTTGCTGGCTCCTCTCCAGGCACTGTCAGTTTATTCCATAGATGTTATGTCAGTAGTTAATTCAGATCAAGGGTGTCCAACTCCTTGTTCCTTTTTTAACCTTTCTGAAGTTCTATCCATAATGAAAAATAACAGATGATTTTTTTCAGTGATATAGCAGCCTTTTTTTTTATTGATATAGCAGCCTTTTATAGTAGCAGTTCAGAATTCGTCGTCAATTAACTGTACAAATGAAGGGTCCATCTTGGAACTTCAACCAGCTGACCTGTTATCAACGGACCTTCGACTGGCTTCCAGTTTCTTATGAGGGCTGTGGCTGCTGTGCATATTTTGTGGCGTATTTTAATGTTTTGTTTTGTAGGAAATGGAAGAAGCTATACAGATAATTAACTAGTAATTGGACCGGTTAAATCAGGCTAATGAGTTCTATCAGCAGATACACAGCCCAAGTTTGACAGCCTTGGGTTAGACATTATAGAGTGGAAATTGTTTTTATTGATTGTCCAAAACAATTTCACTGTGAGTTTTCTGTAGTGAGTCCGAGGTGGCATTTTATTATGTATAAAAGTGGTTGTGGGATCCCAGACCATTGCATGTGAGATTATCCCCAACTATCAATAGTTTTTAAAATCCTAACCTAAAAACTTCTTCATCTCTTGCCTTTTTCTTTCTTTCTTTCTTTCTTTCTTTCTTTCTTTCTTTCTTTCTTTCTTTCTTTCTTTGTAATGTTCTCCAATGATGGATGGATGGATGGAAGAATATAATTAATAATTTGGCCTAAATGCTTGTTTTATAGTCAACATTTCTTTGTTATATTTATTTATATTACAATGGTTCGAGTAGGAAGTCGGACAAATGCTAAAAATAAATTAAAAAAAAATGTCATTCAGTGCTCCAACTGATCAGTTAATTAAGTCTTTAAGTATATTTTTTAATATCCTAAATTTCCAAGGCCATCAATTTACATTTGAAGTTTATGGAACAAAGGTTTGATTCAGAAACACTTGAAGTCTTTTTTTTTTTTTTGGCAGCGCCGCCGATGGAATCACACAGTGCAGATTTTTTTTTGTTTGATGAGGTGGCAATCGCCAGATGGGAAAGATAGGTGCATTAAACGAAAAAAAAAAGAACTTCCCCAGTAAAATTCTTTGCATCCATCATCCGATGTTAGATCCTTCCAAATGTATTGTGTTTAGCTTGAGGAATAGTTTTGTTTTTCAATCAGTCTCCTGTTAACATATTTGTAGGCTGAATATCTGGAGATTAAAACAAAAAAAGATTTAAGATACCAGCGCATTCTTTGAGCCTTCTCTTGTTTGTATGCCCCTAAGTTTCGTATGAATTTGTGTTACTAGGTAAATGAATAAATGAGTCTAAGCAGTGGTACAATGCTTACTGGGAACTGTAGGGTGTATGGAAGCTTGATAAAGTGCAAACTGCTTAGTGGTTGCACTGTAGCATCATGCCTCTGTGGTTGCAGTTAAATTCCTCCTCCTGACTGTGTGTGTTTGTGTGCGTGTGTGTGTGTGCGTGCGTGTGTGTGCGAGCGGGTTTACCTATCCTTAGGGAGACATAATGTCCCCATAACGTGATAAATATCCGTTTTCTTTCCCTTATGGGGACCGGTTTCCTGGTCCCCATAAGGGAAAACTCTATTTTATAAAAATCGGTGACTGCTACAGGTATGAAAAAACTAAAAATGTATTTTTATGTAACAAAAATCTTGTATTTTGTTAGGTTACTTATGGTTATGGTTAGGGCAGGGTGGGGGTTAAGGTTATCATAGTTAGCGTTAGCATTTTTCCCATTGAAATGAATGAGCGGTCCCCATAAGGATATGTTTACCCTACATGTGCGTGCGTGTGTGTGTGTGTGCGTGTGTGTGTGTGGGCGCGCACTCGTGCCATGGATACAGTGGCAGATATCCCACCTTTGGCATATTGATGTCAGGGAGGGGGGTGCTGGGTAGGCAGTATGGCGGACGTACCGTATATCGCAATATTTTAGTTTGGAATTACCCCTCAGTCCCTGTTAAATTTGATCAGGTTTATTACAGAATAGTGTTGCTTTTTAAAATCACTGTCAAAATACCATATTAAAATGAGGGAACAGCAGATTTCCGGGTCATACTCAGGTGTCAGGGAGATGTTATCAATTCGCAGGGAACTTTCGGAACTTCCGGAAGAGGTCAGACTGCAGTGGAATGGGGTTCTACACACGGTGTCTCTGATACCCTGTGTTTTTTTTTTTGTAAACGCTATTATTATTTATTCTTGGAATAATCACATTTTTGTGTGTTTGTTTTTATTGGGTGATAGAATCGTTAGTCTGTATTGTCTTTTTTGACTGATTGAAATTTGAAAATCACGCCATGTCAGATGAATAAACTAAGTTGGAATAAATCCTTATATTAAAATTGTTATTCGAGTTCAAGATGTTGCTCAATGTCTATTTCGGTAATCGTCTTTCTGTGCATGCCGTAATTTTAGCATGTGGGCAGTTGCAGATGGATTTGTTTTCATACAAATGTGTCGCTGGGGCGCCCAGTTCTTCTCAGTGTTTGGCTTGGCTGGGATACAGTGTCAAGCGCATCGGAGTCGGGTTCAAAAGGCAGAATCTCAAACCTATTCTTTGTTGCCTGAGGAACAAGAAAGTAAAAAATCATAGTATGTGTCTGATTAATGTTGGTGGGTAACTGGGGGTCCTCCGCTTCAGGTCCAAAATGTTGTCCTGTGTTGCTCATAACTCCTTGGCCAGGAAAAGATCTCTAATCTCTTCAAATGATCGAATTGTACAATCAGGAATGTTGGGTAGTTGTGCTGTGTTCTTGTCAGGGTAACTAAAACATTGGCTAAATAAACATCGGAAGTCACATTGTTGTTTTAAGTTAAAATTTCGACTTATTTAATTACATGCTACAGATACATCTTTATTCTGCCAATGAGAGAATGCGTGCAGATTTTCTCCAAAAATT